TTTTTCTCCGGTACCGGGAACCGAACTCACGACCTTGCGCTTGCCAGGCAGGCGCTTTTGCCGCTGAGCTAAATCCCCAGCCCCTGTTCAGCCTTTTTCTTATAGTTGCAGTGGAAGTGATCAATTTGAAGCTTCTTAGGTGCTGAAAAGGACTTTCGTAAGGTTTTTTTTTTTTTGTCTCTAGAAAGTTTATTTGAGTAACTGTCTTTTAATTAATGTACTTCATTTTTAAAGGGATAAAAAGTAATACCTGTTGCAAGATTAAATTTTTTTCTTGTTTATTTTTTCTCAAATAGATCCCAAATGCCCTGGAGATGTTGATTTTCATAATAGTGACTGGGACATTAAGACAATCACCAGCTCCTTGAAATTCTACCTCAGGTATGCTTGATTTGAATTAGGTCCTTTGTTTTCATAGTTGATGAAATTTGTCTTCATAGAGATTGGAGTTAAATATGGTTGCAGTTTCAATAAGGTGAATAGGATCCTCAAATTTTAAAAAAAGTGATAAGGATTTTTGTGAAAGATGAGAATGCATTAAAAGACTTTTAAAATATCTGAGAATGTAAGCAACATAAGTATACAAATGAAAATTTTTGAATTTTTAAATTTTAAAAAAATTTTTTATTTTTGAGTAAAGGCTTTAGAAAATTTGTGTTATTTAAAAAGAATGCCCTTAAAATTATTGAAGTTTTTCCATTGTTTATAAAGTTGATGACATGATAGTTCATGAGTAAAATGATGAGTTGTGGCAATTCATGACCATTAACATATCTTATTGGAAAACACCATTTTTTAATTTTTTAATTTTATTTTTTTGGATACTGGGAATAGAACTCACATTTGCTGGGCAGGCACTGCGCCACTGAGCTAAAACTCAGCCCCGAAAAAAACATTTTGAAGCATCATATTATATTTGAACAAAAATAATGAGAGAGATACTGTATATCATACCTTAATCCATATGATGTAAGTAAAAATTAATGGTCTTTCCAGGAATACTTCTTCTGCATCTGCCAAAGACAAAAGGAACTGCTACTGCAAGGTTTATTCTGTGCTAGGCAGTGTACTACTTGCTTACTTTAACTGTCATTGTTTCTTTTTTTTTCTGTCATTGTTTCTTTCTCTCAATAACTGTGCACGATAGTGTATACAATACTCATTTACAGATGAGGAAACTGAGGTGATCCTTTATATCATGAGTAATATTCATAAGCACAGCTAATATTTTAAACCTAAGTGTCTCTGGCTTATAAGGCACTGTTTCTGGGGCCTCTTCTTCCCCTCTCTCTATTCCCAGGAGTCTATGATGCCTTTAAGTCTTTTGAGAGGATACCAGTATGTAAAATAGCTGGGTCAAATGAAATTCCTAGTTTTCTTGAGGGATCTCCATACAGATTTCTATAATGATTGTACTAGTTTACATTCCCACCAACAATGCACAAGGGTTCCTTTTTCCCTGCAGCCTCATCAGCATTTGTTATTGTTTGATTTCTTATTGATAGCCATTCTTTCTGAAGACAGAATCTGTGTTGTTTTAATTTGTATTTCTCTAATGACCAGAGATGTTGAACATTTTTCGTGTATTTATTTGCCATTTATACTTCCACCGAGAAGTGTCTATTATTTCAGTTGCCCAGTTTTGATTGGGTCTTTATTGGGACAGTCTAATTTTTTTTATTCTAGATATTAATCCTGTGTCTGAGGAATAGCTGACCAATTTTTCCCATTTATTAGGTTGTTGAGTCATTCTTTTGTTTCCTTTTCTGTACAGAAACTTTTCAATTTGATATGAGCCCATTTGTGGATTCTTGATGTTATTTCTTGTACAATGCTTATGTTTTTAAGAGTTTCATCTATTTTATCTTCTAGCAGATTAAGTATTTCTTTTTTAACATTTAGATTGTTGCTCCATTTTGATTTTAGTTTAGTGCATGATGAGAGAGGTGGGTCTAGATACTGCATTTGGAAAGCCAGATGTCCCAGTACCATTTATCTATCTTTCCTCCAGCATATGTTTTTGTCCCTTTTCTAAAGGTCAGATGACTGAATATCCCTGGAGTTGCTCCTTCATCCTCTATTCTTTTCCATTGATCCATATGTCTGTTTTTATGCCCATACCATGCTGTTATTATTATAGCTTTGTATTATAACTTGAAATCCAAGATTATGATGCCTTCTACTTTGCTCTTATTGCCTAGGATTGCTTTTGCTATTATGGGTGCCTTTTATTTTCATATGAATTTCGGGTTGTTTTCTCTAGACCTACGAGTGCTGTTGGTATTTTGATGGGGATTGTATTAAGTGTGTGTATCAGTTTTGGAAGTATGGCTATTTTGAAATATTGGGTCTGCCTATCCAGGAATAGGTTATATCTTTCCATTTTCTGATGTCCTCTTTGATCTTCTTTTTCAGACTATTGTAGTTTTAATTTTAGAGGTTTTTCACTTCCTTTTTTAGGTTAATTTTTAATTATTAACTTTTTCTTGGTGCTCTTTTGAATGGTATAGTTTTCCTAATTTCTTTTATTGTTGAGTTTATTATTGATATACAGAAATGTTATTGATTTTTGTGTGTTAATTTTGTATTTTGTTACATTGCTGAATTTATTAATTGTAGGAATCTTATGGTAGAATTTTTGTGTCTTCTATGAAGTGAATCATGGTGTCTGCACATAATGCTACTTTGAGTTCTTCCTTTTCCGTACACATTCCTTTTGTTTCTTTTCCTTGCCTGATTGCTCTAGCTCATATTTCAGTCACTAAAATATATTATTCAGGAATGGTGATAATGAACATTCTTGTCTTGTTCCTGATTTAGAAGAAAAGTTTTCAACTTTATCATTTAATATTATGTTGACAGTAGATTTGCCATAAATGGCTTTTATCCGAGTGAGATAAGGTTCTTTTATACCTATTTTCTTCAGGGATTTTTGTTATGACTGAATGTTTTGTGAAGGGCTTTTTTCTGCGTCTATTGAGATGATCTGTCTATATGCTGTATTATATTTATTGATTTGTATATGTTGAACCATACTTATATCCCTGAAATGAAGCCTATTTGTTAATAATGTATGATATTTTCCATGATTTGTTGTGTTCTATTTGCTGGTATCCTGTTGAGGATTTGTGCATCTGTGTTCATTAGAGAGACTGGCTTATAGTCTGGCTTATAGTTTTGGTTGGGTCCATGTCTGGTTTTAGAATCAGAGTACTACTAGCTGCCAGGAATGACTGTGGGATACTCCTTCCCTTTTAAATTCATTAAAGAGTTTGAGGAATATTGCCATTAGATATCTCCTCAAGTTTTTGTAGAATTCCATGGTAAATCCATTGGGCCCTAGGCTTTTCTTAGTTGGTAGGTGTTTTATTGCTGCTTCAATTTCATTGCCTGTTACTGGATTATTCATCATTTTTATATATTCGTGGTTCAGTGGTGGTGATTCGTATGCATCTTAGAATCTATATTTCTTCTGGAGTTGGTAATTTATTAGGGTACAAGTTTTCAATGTAGGTACTTATTGGCTTCTGGATTTTGGCAGTTTCTGTTGTAATTTCATCTAGTTAATTTGTAGTTGAATTGATTTGGGTCTTTTCTTTCTTTCTTTCTGGTAAGATTGGCTAAAGTTTGCCTATTTTGTTTATTCTTTCAAAGAACCAGCTCTTTTATTAGTTAATTTTTTGTATGTTTTAGTCACAATTTCATTAATTTCTGCTCTGAGCTTTATAATTTCCTTCCTTGCACTAGCTTTGTGTTTGAATTGTTTTTATTTTTCTAGGATCTTTCAGTGGATCATTAGGGTGTTTATTTTGGCTGGATCTGTTTTTCTAGTGTAAGCATTCACAGCTATAAACTTTCACGTCAGGACTGCTTTCATTGTGTTCCATATATTCTGATATATTGCACTGGCATTATTGTTTGATTCTAGGATCTCTCCAGTTTCTTCTTTGATTTCTTTTGTGACTTACTGATCATTCAAGAGTATATTATTTAATTTCCATGTATTTGCATAATTTCTGTGGTTTCTTTTGCCATTGAGTTATAATTTCATTGTACTATGATGTGATACTATGGGTGAGATGATTTCAATTCTTATATACTTAAGTATGCTTTATGGGCCAACATGTGAATTTTGGAGAATGTTCTAAGTGCTGCTGAGAAGAATATCTATTCTGTTGTTGGCTTGAACACTTGGTAGCTATCTATTAAATTCACTTTTTCAAAGGTTTTGTTCAGCTGTGGTATTTGCTGATATTTTGTCTAGTTGATCTATTAGTGTAAGTAGAGCATTGAAGTCCCCCACTATAATTGTGTTGTTATTTATCTAATCTATCATGTTCCGTAGTATTTATTTTATGAAGTTTGGTGCCCATTGTGCAGTGCATATATGTTTATAATTGTTACATCTTACTGTTGAATTGTTGTTTTAACCAATACTTAGTTATCTCCTTTGCCTCTCCTGATTTGTTTTTACATGAAGTACTGTAGCACACCTCATAACAGCTAAATCTTGAAAGTGGCCTGTACATCCTTCAACAGATGAATGGATAAAGAAAATGTGGTGCTTATACATAATAGCATACTGCTTTGCCATAAGGAAGGAGAAACTTGAGTCATTTGCAGGAAAATGGATGCCCCTCTTGACTATAATATTCAGTGAAATAAGTCAGACACACAAGCTTAAATATTGCATGGATTTTGGATTTTCTTATACAAAAACTCAAGATACACATAAATGATAAATCAAAGTAAAAGATACTAGGAAACAGGGAGATAGATCTTCTGCAAAAGGGAAGAGGACCAAGAGACAGAGGGAATGAAAAGGAGAAGAAGGGAAGGGGATGAAAAAAAAGAATTAAGATGTGTTATGTACATGTACCTAATATCTATGATGAATGTAATCATTACTACTAACGTGTGCTAATACAAATAAAACAGAAAGAGTTAGCATCTAGACTTACCTTAAAAGGAATGAGAATGTATTGAAATATTACAAGCGGGGAGTTACATGATAAGATTTGTATTTTGGGGAAAATTTAGTATGGAGATTAGATTAGAAGGTAACAAATGGTGGAAAACAATTAGCTGGCTATTGCTTTCTTCCAGACAAAAGGTGATGCTCCTGCTTGGACCAGAGAGTCACATTGGAGATTAATAGAAATAAGCATATTCAAGACATTTAGGGACTAATGGTGTTGAATTATATATGGGGATTAGGGAAATGCAGGTAAAAAGACGACATCCTCATTTCTAGGCCATACAGCCAAATGATGGCCATGCATTTGCTGGTTGGGGTACAAAAAGGCAAGATATGAGGGAGAAAACAAGTTGGATTTTGAGTGTCTTTGAAGAAAATAAGGGCACTGTATTACACAGACAAT